TTTAGACGTTATGCATTTGCATTTGCATACACTGCATGAATATATATAGACTAGATATATATAACAGGTTCTTGAATTATAAAAAAAAAAATTGATTTGCGATGGATTATTATTTTTGCAATCTTCATTGAATATGCGACATATTACATATATAATTTATGATTCGTGATAGAATTCTTGATTTACAATTTTATATTTCCAGGCCTTGAAGCCTATATATATAAAAATAGGATTCTCATTTATTTTCCTATATATAAGATCCATACATTTTTTATTATTATATGGTATTATATAGAGAAATACTAGTATAAATCTCTTGTAATATAAAAACAACGAGTAAAAAAATCGACACAATGAGCCTATAAGACAAACTAGGAGGAAAAAGAGATAAATTCAGCCGTTGGGAACATTCTCACTCTTTATTTTTCTTTTATTAATTCATTTTGGCAGAGATTCAAAAGCCCCACAAACACCTCAATCCAATAAAAGTAAAAACATGATTAATTAAGTTTTATTTGATATATCTAGGGATTTCCAACATCTAATCATGTGGTCTATATATATTATATTCGGAAAGCTACACAAACTTTGAAACCTATACTGCATCATTTTTATAGCTTAACCCAAGATTCTTCGTTATGTATTATATGCATGTCCATCGCCTTCCATGATTTTATCTTGATAAGTTGAAAAGATAATTAGCAAAAAAAAAAAAAAAGTTGAAAAAGATATATAAATTGGAATTATTTTAAAGTAACCTTGCTTTGAATCTTAACATTCCCTCCTTTTTCCTTGTAATTTTAACTAAAGTTAGATTATTCTGATTTTTATCATTATTCTCTTGCATTTCGAAATACTACTAGTCTAGTCCTAATTTTTTTTTGGGTGTTGTTTATATATAGTCATGTGACATAAGAACATATAAATAAATCACGTATTTGATCTGACATTTTATTTAAATAAATAATCAACTTAATTATAATGGATATCAAAAAATTCAAAAGCTAAAGTAAATTACGTAGGAGTACAAAGAAATATATATAAAGGATATATTACGCTAGGCGCTAAGCGGGCGATGACTCAACGCCTAGCGCATAGAACATTTAATCGGGGCTAGGCGATTTTAGAGGATTTAAACGTTTACATCATAAAATATTATAAATATAATATTATACATAAAAATCATATAAAACTATCTAGTAGAAAAATAAATCTTAAATCGAAACAAAAATTAGACAAAATTTGTTATTTAATCATATCAAAACAATATATATAGAACTAAAATTTATATTTTAAATTTATGTAGTAGAAAATTGAAAAAATACATTGAAACTAAACTTATGCGATTTTAGGTGGTTGAAACGGTTGTCTAGGCATCACCCGAGCGCCTAACGCCTAAATGGAGCCTAAACGACTGCCTAAACGACTGCCTAAACTGCTTTTTAGAACACTGATATAAACTAATAAACATGACCTATCTACAACATTAAGTTAATAATTGTGTATGATATATATTATTTGACATATTTTTTGTTTGTGTGTGTGCAGTCGTGTATGAGTGTATATTCATATGTATTGTCAGCTATATGTATCAAATTATCAATACATACATACAAATTCATAAGCGCACACATTTAATTATGTATACTAGAAACGGTGCAACAGACGAACTGGGGACCAATCCATGGACCAGCTCATAGCCCATTTGCTTTGAATAATCTAAATTCAGCAATGAATAAAAGTTGGAAAATGGTTCATGATGTATATAGTGGAGGAATATTGGTTATCTAAAACAGAAAGAATTTTCTTTATGGATCTTCTTTATTCTTAATCCTAATTTACCCACCAAACCAAATAACAGCAATTCAAATCGAATTTACGAAGAATCTTCATCTTTTTATTGACAAAACTTTAGTTTGAAAAAGCATTATCTTTAAAAGGAACATAAATGGCATATTCTAAGATCTATGTAATGAATATATATGCCATTGTTTTGATTACGATGGATATATGTAGGATGATTTAGTGGTAATTCCGCCATTGACCGGTTGAGATCATCATAGAATTATACTCCCTCCGTTTTAAACTATAAAGCATTTTGGAGAAACTTTTTTGTTTCAAAATATAAGTCGTTTTCAAGTTTTTATGCAAATTATATATTACTTTAATATTTTATGATTATTTTTGTTATGTAGTATCTTTTATAATTGGTTGAACTTTTAAAAAGTAGATCTTCTTAATCGGCGTGCTTTTAGCTAAAACGCTTTATATTTTGAAACGGAGAGAGTATTTCTTGTAAGAACTTTCTTTCGGTATTGTGGAATTTCATGTAAGCACTATTTTGATTTGAGTATTTATTTCTCTAATTTTCACTTAAATGCGTAGTTAGTGCTCTTACAAACTAAGCTGAAAGTCTAACATTCCCGATATGATATATATAATCCATACCACCCAACTACAATAAATTTAAAATGATACTAGATACTAAAAGAGTAATAAATATTAAAAACCTTTTTGTCTAGTGGTTGGTGTTTGCTAAAAAAAAAAAAAGTCTTAGTGGTTGGTAAAAGTTAAAAAAAAAACATTTATATCAGAAAACCTGGATTTGAATTTTAAATTATGACGGATTAATAGATTCAAATATATGCAAAATTTTGGTATACAGTTGGAGTCGTCTGTCAAAATTAACTACAGATGCATTCTGGAACATAGAATTAAGATTCATATTTAATCATGGATACTGTTGTGAGGATAAAACATTGTTTGTTTATGACAAATTAAATTGTTTGTAACAGTTAGACTATACTATTAGTTGAGGAAAAAAATAAAAAAATAAAAAAAAGACTATACTATTAGCTATACTACAAAGTCTACTTGATATAATATTAAGATACAGATTTTTTTTTTCCTTCTAAATTCATTGATATCATATCAACATTACAAAGTCAGTATAAAAAACTTTCGAAAAGCAAATTATTACATAAGCATATTTATGCACCATACAGTAAAAAAGATACACAATACAAAAGAAATTTGATGATGCTTTTCTCAGATAAGCTTTACTCGCTAACGGATTATTAGATCCATTATTTTTCTTCTTTATATTCGATCTCGCTCTGATGCAAACTGTGTGCGTAGATACCTTTGGTTGGCTTGATCTCCAAATTGCACACTGTATGGTGAAACCTATTGCTTCCATCGTAAGTTCTGAAACTATGACTATCGTATACCAATATTTCCGAAGATACAGATTTACTTATTTTTTAACATCAAAAGGCACAACACGGAATCAGTACAAAACTATTTGAGAATTCACATAAAAAGGAAAAACATTCAGAGAATTTTTCTGGTTATGAGTTTACTTTAAGAAAATAATTTTTCCCAACAATCCAAAAACTTTCCCACAAAGCAAATGCACGAGTTCTGGTTATTTTAACACTATTATGGGTTTTACGTGCAATCAGTTTACTGACATCTGATTTTTCCTCATTCATCTATTTTATTAATATATCTTTGATTCACTTTTTCTATTTGTAAAATAATAATATTCGGAAGGTACAGTTTTATGGCAGATGAAATGGACGTAGCGTGTAAGAAAATACAAACCCGTACCTTAATAATTTAGTAAACAAAAGGATAAAGTTAAAATTTTATAATAATTGAATAAATAATTATATAGGAGTATTATTTTCTGACTATACACTGCAACTAGATTTGAACCCGCGGTACACCGCGGGGCTATAATTTTTTTTTTTAAAAATCTAAATATAATTAGTTTTGTTTATTAATAGAGAGTATAATATAATATTTCGACTATTTTATAAATGTACCATTCATATATCTATATTAATAGTTTTGAGTATATTAATTGTGTTTTAGGTTTAAATGGTATATCTATATATATACACTTAAACGACATTTGGCTTTCTTTTTCTTCTTGCCTCAGTTTAGGAGAAAGATTTTTCTTGCGGTATACCGCGGAGCTATTATTTTTAAAAAAATATTTTTTTCTTTAAACTTCTAAATTTAGATTTTACCCCGCGGTACACCGCTGGTCGATTTTTTTATAACTAAAAAATTATTTTGCAAAATTTTAAGTTGTATTTGTTTTGTTAATATTGTTTATTTTCTTTAGTGTTTCTGATTTTATAATTAAATTTTGATTTTTAATTCTAGGATTTCATCTATAGTATATTGTTTAATATTAATATTGATCTAAACCCGTTGCACCATATAACCCCGTCCCGTAAAATTAAACATCATTTGTTATTTTTTTTTGAATAATATTTTTATCTACTACGGGTCGCAAGTTCATGGGATAAGCCTGTAGAGAGTTGCGGGTTTGTGGGTCGACTCGCCAAAAGAGAAGCTATCTTTTGAAGCCCTTTGTTTTGTTTAGAGGTTTTAAGAAAATATCTCTAAGAAATAATTTTCATTATATGAAAAAAAAAGTAGAAGAAATTGTAGTATCAACATTCCCGATTTTTACATCACTCGTTACAATTAATTTTTTTTTTTGCAGATAAAAATCAGAAGTTAACTAAGTCGAGATTTTTAAAAAGATTGTGTAAAGATTTTTGGTAAATTGTTGAAAACATATTTGATTTCAAAATCTTTACTTAAATAGATAAGGAAAGATTTTGTAGAGACTTTTGCTAAATATATGAGAAATGAATTTCAATTAAAAATCTTTACTTAAATAAAATAAATCTAAAGAATTAATGCTAATGGCATGTCATTGTAAATACTTCTCAACTTCATGATTTATTTGCTAATTGTGATCCAAAAATGTATATATAGATGGCATATTCATCACTCACCTTACTTAGGAATTTGTTTTTTTTTTCCAACATAACAAATAATTTGGCAAATTCATACAAAATAGAGTCTCAAATTCAGTACACAGCCCATTCAAATTCGACTCGGAAAAAGATAACAATGCTAAATATAATGGGCCAATATTTTATCTTCAGACCCATTTTGAAAACCACACTAGAAAGTTATATAATAAACCTGAAATACGATCTCTTAAACGACGCAGTTTAGCTAAGTAGCAAGTATCAACTTAGAAAGACATAATCAAATAGGACGAATATGCAATCTTAACTTGTGGGATACAAAGAGAACCTTTGCGCCAACAAGCTTTACAATTCAAACAGAGAAATCAAATTCTTTGTATTCGATTTAAACATGATTATTAAGACAATCCCATGAAAAGCTAGTAACCAAGAAGAAGCCTTGAGTTCAGCCTTGTGCCACTGTTTCAAGCATCTGCAATCATACAACAAATTTTTTTTCTTGTAAGAGATCTGCTACAAACTACACTTTAGAACAGAGACAAAGGTGATGAATCGGAACCGACTAGTCTTAAGGCAACAAGTTGCCTATGCCCTTACATGTTTAGTTACATTGAATAGTTTTGATTCTCTACTCAACCTTAGCTCCAATGGGTTGTTTTAAACTTTCATTCAGCTTTGCTAATATAACCGGAAAAAGGCGCATGTAGTAGCCACATTCTCCATTATCTATACACTACATACCAGAGTTACAAAATCATTTGAATAGAGGATTGAACTCGGGGTAAGAAGTATGTAATTTGATCAAAGACCATTGGTTCCTTCAGGCATTTTAAAAGATAAAACCAACTGAAATCAAATGATGCAAAGAAGTTTATGTATAACCTGACTAAAACCAACATATTCTGAGATATATCTCCTGAAAGATACGACCTTGCGCAACATTCACTATCATTCTCCATCTATCCTTCTATTCCAAGTGTTCTTTTCATCTCCACTTTACTTGTACAAGAACTAACTACGAAAATATTATGATCAGGATTCACGGCAAGTTTAATAACTTAAGCTGGTGCTAACTATGCCAAATCTTAGAGATAACAAATGAAAATAAACTCAGGATCACTTTGCAAAATCAACATTTCGCAACATTCTCAGATTCAAGCGAGTGTAGCAAAAACAAAAGAAATCAATTTTGTTTTAGGCTACTCTTCAATACACTAAGTAACCGCAAAGATCAATTTAACATAGACTAGAAACTACATCTCTGCGTTCCAATCAAACGAAGAAAATTTCAAAATTAGCACACAAAATGAATCAATCATCAAAGATTTACCTCATCCAAGAACATCGATGATCTTCAGTGAGACGGAGCAGTCTGTTCCTGGTGGTGGTGAGATGATTTCGAAGGAGCCAAAGCTTTGTTGTAGATCTGCTCACCGACGAGGTAAACGCAGAAGGCGGCGACTCCGATGCCAAGTCCGGGAAGAGCGTGTCTCATTTGATTCGAAAGCATTGGATGCTTCCTCCATTCATCTCTTCGCCGGAAAAATTCGCCGGTAGTTCCCAAAGGCTTCGCCATTTTCTCCGGTGTTCGATTAATCTCCTGCGACCGTACGTTCGTTTCTCTTCACTTTCTCAAATGACAAATGATGGGCTCCTTTGATGTATATGGGCTTTAACTTTATTTTTTGGTCGTCATATGGGCTTTAACAAGTTATCATTTGGGCTTCTCTTGAACAAAAAAAATCGGAAAATAATAATGTGATTTAATATCAAAAAATGTGACTTTGAAGTGACTATATATTATTATTAGAGGTTGAAACTGAGATTCTCATTCTCTCTTCCTCTTATCACTTCCGTTTTTCACAGCCAAAATGAAATCTGATTTAGATCCAAGATCCATGAAAGAATCAACATTTTAGGATTAGAGTTTCAAGGAGATTATGATCTACAATTGGTTAAGTCCAAATTGTGTGTTTGGACTATTGAGAATGAACCAATGAATATTGAATGTTCAGGATTGTGAAATGAAATAATGAATGGCTCTGGCATGTTTGTTTATATGAATTTTACCAAGAAAGGTTGTTCCTTTATGTTTTTTTGCAGATTTTGGCTCATTTCACTGCATCATGGTGTATTCCTTGGGTGTTTATGAACTCGTTCTTCGCAGAGCTTGAGTTTAGCTATAACTCTATAAGGATGCTCTTTTTCTCGTGGTTGATGTTAATGAAGTTAAGGTAAAACTACTTATGTGTCTCTCTACTTTATGTGTCTTTGTTCATGACTCCTTGTTAAAGAGAAGTGTTTTGCCATCAAGAATAAAAAAATTGAACAGTTGCTAAGATGATTAATGGTTTTTCTCTGTTTTTACTGTGTTAGATTTGTCAGGAAGTGGCGCGTCAACTAGAGGTAAAGGCGATGCCAACTTTCTTGTTCTTGAAAGATGGTAATGCATGCGATGGACAAAATCGTGGGCGCAAACCCTGATGAGATCAAGCGTTGTTAATATTGCTTAAGAGAGATATATAGATAAGAGAAGAATACTAAATAAAGTTTGTGTGAAGTGTAATTAGTTTTTGACTTTGGTATATGGTTTGTGTGAGTGTAAGTGTAAATTTTTACAAAAACGAGTTCTGCTGTACTTTCAGACAGAATCTGCAGACACTAAAAATCTCAGGCGTGACATTTTGGTATACGATTTAGTCTATGAAAATAATTAATATTTTTAAATAAAACCATATTAATTTTACTCTTACTTTTTAAAAATTAGTTTAAGTGTTGAATTTGAAAAACGTCGAATTTTTTTTATATAGCTAAAACTATTTGATTTTACAAAATATTTTTGTTTTAAAAAATAACTAGGTGTTAAATTTTAAATACGTTGAAAACAAACCAGACTTAGCATCCCGTCCTTTGGTCCGTAAGTCTTGTGGTGTCATAAGTTCAACATTGACGTATTTTAAATTTAACATTTGGCTTAGTTTTAAGGTTTTTCATAAATATGTTTTAAGTGCATTGTTTTGATTTTTAACTAAAAGTGTTTGATTTTACAAAATGTTTTTTTCGTTAAAATAACTAAGTGTTAAGTTTTAAATACGTTGAAGATAAATCGGACTTAGCATCCCGTCTTTTGGTCTGTAAGTCTTGTGGTTCCTTTAATATATGTTTCACTTATATTTTTCTTATGGTTCCTTTAATATCAAAATAATGTCAGAAATTAGTGATTAAGTTTTATAATTATAATATCGGAAATTAGTAATGAAGTTTTATAATATTGCATATCATATAAGAAATCTATCATTTTAGAGTTGTTATTGTTTATTTCTTTTTTTTTTTTTTTAATTTGATAAAGCATTGTTTATTTCTTGTTAAACTGAAGACAAGTGCAAATGATAAATCATAGTAAAACTATGTTACAAAAAAAAATCATAGTAAAACATCTTCTGATCAATTTCCAGCTTATGTATCTGGTTTATGGGAAGATTGAATAGTAATGATCTTATCAGAAAAACTGTTATCACTTATCAGGCATAAACATGGTGTTCCTGTCGTTAGCGGCTTGGCTTGGTGGATGACCATGACCTGGAGGAGGATCTTTTGCAGGAGAAGATGGAACTGTTGGGCTTGGTCTTGGTGGATGACCATGACCTGGAGGAGGACCTTTTGAAGGAGAAGATGGAACTGTTGGGATTTTACCGGTTTTGTCAGTGAACGGTCTGGCAATTGTTTGGACGGTTATTAAAAGAAGAAGAAACAGAGCAATCTTCATTGTTTTCGCAGAGGACTTCATGATTTTTCCTTCTTGTTTGTGTCTTAAATTGAGATGATGAGCTTAGGACTTGTATAGTATATATGGATTTGTAATTTGTTTGTAGCCACTACCACTAGCCAGTGTTTGTTTTGCTTTGGTGAGTTCATATGAGTATAAATAGGTGGAGAACTGGAGATTAATTACAAATAGTCAAATACACAGTAATTACTAATTAGGCAATTACTTCCTTTTATTCAATTTGTTATTTTTAATAATATCAACAATGTTATTACCTAAATATTTTATTTTGGTCAAACCTAAATATTGTTTCTGTGATGTTTTTCCTTACAAAATATTAAATTAAGTTGACCAAAAAATAAATAATTTAAACAATACTAACTTTTTTTTTTGATAAAACAAACAAATACATTACTACTATTCTACTGACTTGATCGAAACGAGTAGGAAAAATTCGCTTTATAAATGTTCTCATAATCATAAAGTATTATATTATGTATCGAGTAAGATAGCTTTTCGATATTTCTGCTTCTCCTCATATATGTGTAGGCACTATCCGTAATCATAAATAAATTTTTGTAATAATCTTATAAGATAATTTTCATAATTGTTTCGAAACAAATGCTCCAATACATCCACCAAAAACAATAAAACAGTAACTTTTCTATCAAATTGAGTACTCTAAAAAAAAATTAAATATCTTATCATTTACTTATTTTGCTATCAAATTCAATTTTAGCATATAATTACTTTTAACTTTCCTATATTTTTCATTAAACAGTAAATAATATCACACAGTGACTTTTCTTACTTCCTTGGCCTAGCACATCCACTGAACAAGGAGAAACGTCTCTCTCGACTTCTTCGTGATCGCACAGAAGTCCCTTTGATCTATAATCAAGTAATCAAAAACATCAAATAGATAAATAAATTGGTTTTTTGTTTCATTGCAACATTAAAGAACATTTTGTGAATTTAAAACTCACTTTGGTTCTTCTTGGAGACTTTTGTGTGTTCCAACAGAAAAGCAGACTGCAAACTCCTCTCCCTGATTCTGATTCATATCCTCTGCACAAACCAAACAAGACAATTGTTATGAAAATCTTATTTGCTTTTTTTCTTTACTTTTACTGAATCAAGATTACTTACAGATTGTCTTTGTTGTTTGTGAAGTTGCTATTGTGTAGTAAGCTCGGAGAAACAGGACAATGCTCCATTCTTTTACCAGTCTGATTCTCCTTAAACTCACCCATTTCACAAATCTTCAAAACTTTAACTCCATTGGTGTCTTCTTGAGGTAGAATTTGATTCCTTTCGGGTTTTAACCGGCCTTGTGAACCAGGGATCTTCTGTAACCACTCAGTTTCTAATCTCTGTTCTTGGATGATTGCTTCAATTCTTTTCATTGGAATCTCATTCCCACTTTCATTATCTGAACTAGTTGTCACTGCTGTTTGTCTGGTCTGTTTGGAGTTGAGTAACTCAGTTTCAGACAAGAGGATTATCCTGACCTCTACGTTTCGCCGTAGTACCATTTCAATCGAGTTTGTGATACTGCTTACAAACCTTTCAGCTCTAGCTTTGATCTCTCTTTCTCCAAATGCAATATAAGCAACTAAGATACCTGCAAATAGGAGTCTATTAGTATGCAATTTCTTGGTTTTTCCTTCATTTTATTTAGAGAAGTTTTAGGCTTACCTTCAACTTCACTGATAGATAAAAGCTTCCCATGAGCATATAGAAGCTGCTTCAACGTCTTCGAATGACATCTGTCCACACACTTTATCCAGATATCATTTAGTTTCTCTGAATTTCTGCACGTAAGGGTCATGGAGCTTGTCGTTGTATCGTCATGCGAGGCAATGGAAGTCTCACTCTCTAAGACTTCCCTAGATGAGGAGGACAATTTCACTTCATGAACGAGGTTTCCACTTTTTCTCATGGATGTTGGGGATGCTGAATTACTACATTGAAGACCTGATCTCTGTTTGTAAGCAATAACTTCTCTTGAAATGCTTTCGTCAGTTGCTCTAGAGCTTTGCCTTCTACTGCTACCAGTATGTGTGGTTCCAGGAGAAGGCACTGAACCAAGCTGCAGCAAGGTAGCTATGAACCATGTTGAACGATCAGTAGAAACTCTAAGCTGTTTCTCAGCTTCAGAAAGAAGTTTCAGAGCATGCTTTAGTCTCTCCAAATCAGCTTCAGTCACTACAAAAAAAAAAAAACGGAACAAGATTGGCCAAATACAAAGCGGTCAAGAGAAACTAGCAGAGCCTAAGGCATCAATAAGCCAAATTTTGTCGACAACCATTCTAGTGCGAGAAAAACTATATGATCATTTTGCATCTCGCTGTGGATTTCAATACTTCGCAGTTTCATTCAAAATAATCAGAACTAATGACTTTAAAGATTCAAATACTCACAGTTCCTTCTATCAAGAAAGGCTTCGCTGTATTTTTCGTCCAAAGCCTTGTATGCTCCAGCAATTATATCCATGATAAGACTGGCTAGTTGAGACATCATGAGTACTGGATCAGCTCCTAAATCCAGTAACTCTCTAGCTTTCTTAACAGTCTCTGCCGTGTCAGAAGACAACGCTAATTCCAAGAGTTCAAGCAATTTATCATCTGAAACAACACCCACCTGCACAAACACCAGCAGTCACATTTACATTACTCATTGGTCTGATTTTACCGAATGCAAAAGAAAGGAAACATAGAACAAACACTAAAACTTACAAGCTCATTTACAAGATCAACGGTGATTCGTTTTCCCATCAAACTCAACTGCTCCAACATAGTTTCAGCATCTCGAAGTGAGCCATCAGCATTCAAAGCAATCAGGTCCAAAGCCTGTGATTCCACATCCAGATTTTCATCTAAAGCAATTTTCCTTAGTCTCACAACAATGTCACCATCTCTGACTTTGTTGAAGAGGTACTTCTGGCACCTTGACTGAATGGTCCGAGGAACATTGTCAAGATCAGTAGTTATACATATGAAGACAACTTTCTGCAGAGGGTTCTCAAGAAACTTGAGTAAAGATAGCCATGTCATAGATGGTAATAAATGACACTCATCTATCACAAAAACCTTGTATCTTGGAGAACTCTGTGGAGCTAATGTCAACAGTTTTTTCAAAAGATACCTAACTTTCTCAGCTCCATTCTTCTTACCAGCATCAAGTTCCAACAAATCCCTACTTTTCCCTAGCATGTAATCACTGCATTCTTTACAATACCCACAAGGTTTCATTTCTTCAGTCACCACATCACAATTCAAGGCAGCCGAAAGAATTCTCGCGGTAGATGTCTTCCCAGTTCCTCTAGGACCTTGGAAAAGATAAACATGAGCAATCCTACCCTTTTTCACAGCGCTCATTAGCGACTGAACAACTATACTCTGCCCAATCAGTTCATCAAAGAACATTGGCTTGTACTTTTGGCTCAAGCTTTGAATACTTTCCGGTGTACTTCCTTCTTCTTCCTCTTCTTCTCCTTCCCCATCCTGACTCTTACAACAAGTAGACCATCTCCTCCCATCTAATCTACTTTGAGCTTCTAAATCAAGCTCTCCGAAATCAGTAGAAAGATCATCATCACTACACCCAATTCCTATAGATGACCCTCCTCTACTATCACCACCATATTTGAGCAAAGGTAAAACACCCTTTACACTTCTTAAAGCAAGCTTCTGTTTATTATATCTCCCATTGGAATGCCTATGTCTACGATACGCCGATTGACTCCCGCATAAAATGCTACTCCCTTTCCTTCTAAGAGTATCCGAAAACGAAGGTGAGCAACAACTCCTACACCCACCTCTATGCTTCAGATTCCTCTTGGTCCAATAAAAAGGAATCCCACAACCTTGTCTCCCTTTAAAATCCAAGTTATCATCATCCAGCTCATCATCACCGTCCTCCCACGACCCGACGGTACTAGGATTACGGATACCATACATATTGTATGAGCTAGTTGACAATGCAGGTGTACTGTTACAAGTAAGGGAAGAATCCTCTCTCTTACTAGTAGCTCTCAAGAACTTAGACGAAGAGCGTGACCAGTTCTTGTGCTTTAGTTTCGAAAGCAAAGGAGATGAAACTTTAGTGGGATTCTCCGAGTTGCTAAAATCCTCTGTTTCATCAGATACCTCAGCCGATGCAGCGTGAAGATGATGACTTGGAAATTTCCTGGCTTTCGCAGAGCTTCGAAAAATTGCTTCTTTAGGTTGATGATGATATGGAGATATCAAATCCAATTCCTTACTCTTCTTCTTGCTAAAACCATTCTTTCTAAACTTTGAAAAACCAGGCGACACAAGATTCGTGTCTCTGCAACTAAAAATCATCGAAGCAGATCGAGTTTCCCCAAGACACGAATCTCCTCCACCGTTCCTCGCATCACTGACATCATCATCATCATTGAGACCAGCTTGGATCGAAGACGTTCCGTCTTCACCATCACTCTTCTCGCTCGAAGTTTTCTGAGTCTTCCAATTGTACAAAAACACCTTCTTCTCCTTCTCCTTCCCAAATCCTCGACTACTTGGAAACTGAGAATCCAACTGATTGTTACAGAGAATCTCGACGTTCTTGCTCGTCACCGGCGGCTCAGCGACGGATCTCGACGAGGTAAGAGGAGATTTCCACGAGGAAGTGGTTCCGGGATCGCGTAAACCCTTAGCAGCAACTTTCCTGATTTGAGTAAGCTCCTTCTTCAGATGCAATTTGCTCGGATCCGATATCCTTACACCCGACATTTTTTTTTCCTTCAGACAAGAAAGAATCACACTCTTCGACTTCCTCCTCTTTCCTTGTCCTCTCAAGTATTCAGACACAACATTTTCGATCGAAATCCCCAAAAACGACGATGAAATTGAAGGAAACTAATCTTCTTCTCCGACTAATAAAGTACAGTCACACCGGAAATTGCGCAGGTGTTACCAAATATTTGAAAGAAGACGAAGAAAGAGAACAGTGGCTATGAGAGCGAACGCGAGGATGAGAGTGAGAGAGATGAAGAAAGAGATTGGTGAGAAATTCAAAAAATTCACGGTGATTGCTCTCTTTGTTTTTTATTTAAAAAAAAAAGACACAAAAAGAAATGTGAAAAAGTGAAAAATGGGTCGGAAGGAGCGGTGACGCTCGGGATTCTCCTTATTCTGGTCTCTCTCTCTCTCTCTCTCAGATCTAAAACCAATCCTCACTCTTCTCACGCCTCTTCACTGTCTTTTCTCTTTTTTTTTTTTTTTTAAATTTAAATACGAATTTTAACACAAAAAAAAACAATTTATAACAGAGATAAAAAGTACAATAGAAACCAACTTTAGAATATAGATAACGAAAAATCTGAAATCTAAAATATTTTAAATACTTATCTCAAAAATAAGTAATTTTTTTTTCAAGATCGGCGAGAAGTACCTAAAGGTTAAAGCCAATAATATTAGTTGTTTAAAGAAAAAACGACCAATTTTGTTGTTCTTGCAACGTGGCCGTCACTGATCAACAAAATATTGTCTAAATTATGTGAGATTATACTAGTAGTATGTTACAGGTTCTGACATTTACATGTCTATTAATATGAGACCAATGATTAAAATAAAAATAATGTATGTTGTGATTGAACGAAACATGTATCATTTCAGCTTGGTCGTAAAACCACATGTCTATTTTACAAAATTTAGTTGCATTCATAACGAAATATAGATATTTAATCTTTTCTCTGACAAATGTCTTCACTCTGCCGTCACCAGGGTTCGATTCCTGGCCACTGCGTATTCACATTGGCGCTCCGCAGGCCTCCAGGAGCCAACACGTGGAGAGCCGTTTGGCCGCCCACGTGGCTAGTCTGTGCGAACCGATAGCTAACACATGGAACCCTGCTCTGTCGGCTCGCCGCCGATAGCTAACACGTGAACCCTTCTCTGTCGGCTAGTGACAGGAAACATGGGTTATAAAAAAAAAAAAATGTCTTCACTCTTTTTTTTTTTTGTTAAAAAATGTCTTCACTCTTTAGATCTCACTTCTGAGCTGTTTTATTGTCTCGTGCAACAAAAACGAATTAAACATCACATGCATATTTACTGCCATTGTTTTTTTTTTTTTTTTAATTTCCTTATGATAATTTTATTTATTACAATTGTTAAAAAAGTTTTGCTTTTGATTTTTTTCTTTCTATATGATCGCGTTAATATATAGTACACACAAATATGTATTTTAAATGCATATGAACAAGCTCCTGGGTCCTTATAGTTTGTGCTCTTTTAATCATGCATTATAATCATTCATACATGCAAAAACAAATTAACGGTGATATGCATGCACATGACACTATTTTGTATGTTTCCGAAGTTTCTTGTGGCTCTCACTCTAATTGATCCATTCACAGAATGCTATATATATAACCCAAGGAGGAATCGTACTACATTTAATGGGCCTGATGTTCAAATAATGGGCTTAATGTCCAGATAGTGGGCCCAAACGAGCTTCTCATGTTCACTTATAAATCCAACTTCATATATTTTTAGAAATCTTCCATTCGAATCGAAAACACGTACGAGGAAGAGAACGTGAAGCTACTATATATATGTCTCGAGAGCTCACTGCATCTCTTGCCGCCATAGCTTCACAAGCTCTAACATTCACTCAGTTAAACCAAATCCATGCTCATCTCATCGTCTCCAATTCCCTCCATCGACAAAGCTACTGGGCTTCGCGTTTAATCAGCTGCTGCACGCGCCTCCGTGCGCCGCCTTACTACGCGCGGCTCGTTTTCGATTCAGTGACATTTCCTAATGTCTTCCTCGTCAATTCGATGTTTAGATACTTCTCTCAGATGGATATGGCGAATGACGCTCTTCGTCTCTATGAACAAAGATCGCGTTGCGGGATTATGCCTGACACTTTTTTTTTCCCGGTTGTGATCAAATCGGCTGGGAAATTCGGGGTTTTGTTTCAGGCCCTTGTAGAGAAAATGGGAATTTTTAAGGACCCTTATGTGAGGAATGTGATAATGGATATGTATGCGAAGCATGAGTCAGTGGAGAGTGCACGTAAAGTGTTCGATCAAATTACTCACAGAAAGGGGTCTGATTGGAATGTGATGATTTCTGGGTATTGGAAATATGGGAACAAGGAGGAAGCTTGTAAATTGTTTGATATGATGCCGGAGGGTAAAATTGATGTGGTTTCTTGGACGGTAATGATTACTGGTTTTGCGAAGCTTAAGGATTTGGAAAATGCAAGGAGGTGTTTTGATTGTATGCCGGAGAAGAGCGTTGTTTCTTGGAATGCTATGCTTTCAGGTTATTCTCAAAATGGGTTTACAGAGGAAACTCTGAGATTGTTTAATGATATGTTGAGACTTGGAGTTAGGCCAAATGAGACCACATGGGTTATTGTTATTTCCGCTTGTTCTTTCCGTGCTGATCCTTCCCTCGCTCATTCACTAGTAAAACTGATTGGTGAGAAGAGAATCCGTTTGAATTTCTTTGTGAAGACGGCATTGCTTGATATGCATGCTAAGTGCAGAGATATTTTATCTGCTAGGAGAATTTTCAACGAGTTAGGTACGCAGAAGAATCTTGTCACTTGGAATGCTATGATATCTGGATATACTAGAATTGGTGATATGAGTTCGGCTAGGCAGCTTTTTGATACAATGCCTAAGCGAAATGTTGTTTCTTGGAATTCGGTGATAGCTGGGTATGCTCACAACGGACAACCTGCACTAGCCATTGAGTTTTTCGAAGATATGATTGATTATGGAGATTCCAAACCGGATGAAGTAACAATGATTAGTGTTCTCTCGGCTTGTGGACACATGGGTGATCTAGAATTGGGTGATTGCATTGTAGATTACATTGGTAAGAAGCAAATCAAGCTTAATGATTCAGGATACAGGTCATTGATCTTCATGTATGCAAGGTGTGGAAACCTGTGGGAAGCAAAACGGGTGTTTGACGAAATGAAGGAAAGAGATGTTGTCTCTTATAACACGTTATTCTCAGCTTTTGCAGCTAATGGAGATGGGGTTAAAACGCTGAATTTACTCTCAAAGATGAAAGACGAAGGCATTGAGCCAGACCGTGTGACTTACACTAGTGTCTTGACGGCTTGCAACCGTGCAGGATTACTCGAAGAAGGCCAGAGAATATTCAAATCAATTAGAAATCCGTCGGCGGATCATTATGCTTGTATGGATGATTTGTTGGGCTGAGTTGGTAAGCAAAGAGATTGATTGAGAAAATGCCAATAGATGCACGCTCCTCAATTTCAGCCTTGACTAGGTGAGTTTTTATCTATTTGTGATTTAATATAAAAGTTGAAACTTTTTCCTTCAAACGTCTACTAGAATCTTTAACCCAGGCAAAAATTAGAACCCGAAATTCAAACTAATTAGCTTACTAAATCCCACACTTGCAACGTAATAATATGGTTGGTTGTCTCTGGTTAGGCCCCACCTTTTGCCCTTTTCTTTTGCTTTAGTTGTTTCTTCTCCCATATGAACATCCTGTGGAAATAGATATCCTTAAAGTGGTTGGTGAAAGCAATACCAATTGGTTTCTACGAGATTTCTTGTGTCTTTTCTTGATTATTTCTTAGATGTGAGTGCATTCCATGTGAAATTTCATCTTTTGTTTTGTCTACTCACTCCGTGTGGGGTTCACTTAGTCACTGGTTTTTACATTAAGATTTTTTCCAATGAGTTTCCTGATATGATGATCTATTTTTTTGCAGGCGTTTAGGGTGTTACTAGATTGTCCGTTTCTGGAGCGAAACAAAGTAGATGGAGATGGTTTGACATTCCTTGATATCTTAAGAAACCTGGGACAAAACGAAGGTGGTTGGGACTTGGATTTGGAACAAGTTGTTCTAACAACAGGGTACAATGAGGCAACGTCTGATTTTTCGAAATCACCAATCACTTTCTGGAGATACTGCTCCGCGATCATGAGAGGGTTAAGGTCTAACATTTCAGATGAAGCTCGTGGAGTCTTCCTGGTTGTATGCACTTTGATAATAACAGCCACTTATCAAACTGCCCTCCAGCCTTGCGAATGCGGGTTCCGTGGTGATGCAACAGACTTCTCCACAAGACGCATTAGTTCTGACACTTCAGACGAAGCTCGAGGAGTCTTCTTGATTATTTGCACTTTGCTTATCACAGCCACTTACCAAACCGCTCTCCCGCCTCCAGGAGGTGTAAACCAATCCGATGGTCATGCGGTGATGAAACACACATTCTTCATCGTCCCATGGTTTCTAACACTATAGGCTTCTGCTGCGCGATATTCTACACCTTTTGTCTCTTACCAGTTACCAGCTAGAGGTTTGTTGACTCTATGGTTTGTTTATATAGGAGCATCTCTATGCGTGTCTTACGCCCTCGCAATAGCTGTAATCTCACCACACCCTTTACTGTTTCTGTCTGCATGCTTTGTCTTGTATCTTCTTTTTCCCCTCAAAGTTCTGATGGAAGTTTTCGTAAGGCAATGGTGCAGTCATCAGACGGTAGCACCTAATCCCCGGTTGAGCTGGTTTTGGAAGGTTTAAGACCAACATTTGAGAGGACTTTGAGAATGCAAAGATGCAGCAACCCTTCAACATATATGCCATGCCCCTTGTGACCATTTGATAGTAAGCTTGCTATAAACATGTTAGTCATGTCATAATGTTCCAGGAAGAAAAAAAACCAGCTGCAATATAGAGAGTGTTTGTGATATCTTACACATATTCGTTGGTTATACTTGTTCAACTGTAATTCAAGTCTTATATAATCCATTATATTCCAAGATAGCTAAAATCTGTGGTAGAGACCACCAAACCATGAGATGTCTTTTTTTGTTGGAGAAATCAATTAAACCATTATTAAATTATACAGCCAACCTCTGGAGATCCAATAAAACAATGCAAGAAGATTATAAAAATGAAAAAACAAACAATAGAGACAGACAAAATTTTGTATGATAATCTCTAAAATACAAAACTTGGGGATAGTCAAATCAAACTAATATATGAAGTTTGACACTGCAGAAAAAAGCTAGAGAACAAGTGTGAGAGAGATTAAGAGCTTAAAGAGTGAGTCAATTCTGATATTAAAAAAACTCTAGCAAGACTAAAAATGCAAACTTTTTGTTGATTCTTGATGATCAAAAGTAGAAGAAACTCTAGATGGATTTGGTCAGTGCGACGGTGGAGCTTTGGCGTTGGGAGACCAAATGACATCAGAGCCACCCATGTGGCAACTGTACATCGACTCTCCTCCACTTCCTGTCGCCACGTGTCCCGAGACCGGCGGCGATTGGCCCTCCCCTTCCGCCGAGTCTCTTTGCTCTTCCTCCGCAGCGGGTAACCGGTGATAGGCAGGGTTATTGAAACTAGTAGCGACGACGTAAACAGTTCCGGCGGCAACGAGAGGACCAGCGACGAATCCACCGATGACTTGTCCCTGAGGTCCGGCGAGAGAGACGGTGAAGAAATTAGAGAAGGGAGGGGGCAAGGAAGTCTGAGGCGGAGGAGGGAGGAAAGTGGCGGAGACAGAGAGAAGATCGAACTTTCCGTGGAAAGTAATGGTTGAGCCAGGAGCTGCCGGAGAAGGCTGACGCAAGGTGACATCAGCGACGGAGCCTGAGCCACTGAGGACGCAAAAGCCGATGGCTTTACGGCGGCAGAAACGGTTTAGGGCTTCAACGACGTCGTTTCCGGATGGCACTTCGAGGATGTAAGGACTCATAGGAGGGTCGATGGTGACAAAGATTGGAGCTTTAGGTTTGTTTTTGGAACCTTGAGGTCTGCCACGTGGACGGCCGACGGTTTCCATGGAGGAGGAGGGGGAGAGGTGCAAGTGTTGTCGCTGTGTAGGGAGCTTCGACAACATTTTGCTTTTTATCTTTTGGATTTTTGTGTTAAAAAAGATGCAGAGAGAGGATATATAAAGACGACTAGTCTAATCCTTGTGGGAAATGGTATTACCAAAAAAGTAATTATATAAAAAGAGGAATCGTGAAGGAGAATGAGAGGATAGGACCTTTGAAAGCAACAAACTTTAATAACCCATTCAAGTTGTCCAAGTGTTCTTACCTCTAGTTCTGGTTGATTATGTTTCTGCGAAAAGCTCATTCTCTATGGATATCCAAGGCTTCAACAGGCTGCTGAATCCGGTAGCATCAGTGACTTTTATGCTTTGATTGATGAGAATCTGTGCTTAGTGTCCATCTTGAGGTAGAGTGCCTCATAACTTTGCCTGAATGTATCCACGATGCGAGTGTTATGAATGATAGATTTGAACTTCTCCAAGTCCTTACCGGGGGATCCGGAGAATGAGCCAAAGGGAGGCTCTCTCTACCGAGTATGCCTTACTGGTTCTCTCTGTGTGCTTTGCCTTGTACCTGCTTTTTCCTCTCTGTCTTGATGGAAATGGCGACAGTGGCACCTGATCCCCGACTGAGCTGCTTTTGGACGGTTTGATTCAACAATTGAGGACTTTGAGAATACAAACATATGTTATGTCCCTTGTGACTTCTTGTATCATCATAATGTCGTATTTGTATATAATTTGCTTCTATATACATTAGTACGTTCAATATGCTTCATCAAGCGTGAGCCTTTAAAATTAGCATAATCTTATGAACGACTTTGGGAGCTAAAGTTGTGAATACCAAATAAAATGAGTTTGATACCATGAAGAAAAATCCAGCTGCCATATAAGAGAGTCCCACTTGTTTTTAAATTGTCTCTTCTTTCACATGTACATGTGGTTTCTTGGGTCTTTGAACTCTATTTCTTTATTGTTTCTTACATTTGTTTGTTGGTTCTTGCTATGAAGCTTCTTGGTAAAGACATTTTCTGCAATTGTTGTTCGCTTGCTGAATTTAGATCACAAACATTTTTCTTGAATTCAGAGTTTTCTGATCAAAAGCTCTCTCTCTCTCCATGGATCCGAGACTACAACATGCTGCTGAAACCGGAAGCATCAATGAATTTTATGCTCTGATTGATGAGAATCCTTACATTCTTGATAACATCAATGCCGTGCCATTTGTCAACACTCCTCTCCACGTAGCTGCAGCTTCTGGGAACATTCCATTTGCCATGGAGATGCTGAATCTTAAGCCATCGTTTGCCAGAAAGCTGAACACAAGTGGGTATAGTCCATTGCATCTTGCTGTGGAAAAAGATCATAGAGAGTTCATAACGTGGATGATCTGGCTTGATCCCGGACTTGCTCGAGTTAAAGGGAGAGAAGGCATCACACCTTTCCATCTCATAGCAGTAAAAGGAGACATAAATCTTGTGGTAGAGTGTCTCAAGTCTTGCTTTGAATGTATCCAAGATGTGAATGTGAATGGCCATAACGCTCTTCACCTTGCTGTGATGAATAATAGATTTGAAATTATCCAAGTCCTCACCGGTTGGCTCCAAAGAATGAGCCAAAAAGATTCTGCTTCCACCGAATATGATTTCTTGAATAGAAAAGATTTATCTCACAACACGCCTTTGCATCTTGCAGCATATAAGGAAGATCATCAGGCATGGTTCTTAAAGCTTTACAAATTTTTTGTAGTTTTGTATGATTTTCTGAATGGTTCATTTTGTGTAATAATTGCCCTGAGTATAAAATATCTGTTTGCAGGCGGTAAAACTGCTGCTAGAATGTCAGCGGGTGAAACTGAACGAAGTAAATGGGGATGGTTCAACACTCCTTGATATCTTAAGAAACCAGGGACAGACTAGAGACTTGGCTTTGGAACAAGTTGTTGTAAGAACCGGGTGCAAGGAGGCGGCTTCTCTTCCGAAACTTGAGAAACCGTCTGATCAGTTTAAGTCACCAGTCACTTTTTGGGGTCATTGCTCCATTGGCATCAGACGCCTGAGGTCCGACACTTCAGAAGAAGGCCGTGCAGTCTTCTTGATTATATGCACTTTGATAATCACATCTACTTATCAAACCGCACTTCAGCCTCCTGGAGGTGTAAACCAATCCGAGGGTGGTGGTACCGCAGTGATGAAACAAACATTCTTCATCGTCCTTTGGGTTTCTAACACTATAGGCTTCTGTTGCGCTCTACTCTACACATTTTGTCTCCTACCAATCGGTAGCTTGTTTACAACATGGTTCTTCTGGATTGGAGCGTCTCTGGGAGTTTCTTATGCGCTTGCTATGGCTGTAATCTCACCAAACCCTCTATTGTTTCTCTGTGCGGCCTTTACCTTGTACCTGCTCTTTCCTATGTATCTCTTGATAGAAATTTTCATAGCCCTGAGGCTGAGCCATCTTAAGGCTTCAGTAAATCGAATGTTTGTGACATTTTTGAAACAGAGAGGGACTTTGAGAATCTAAAGATATAACCTTTCAACAAATTGTGATTGAATGTGAAGTTCTATGAGGTAATCGGCTCAATGAGTTTCATCAGGCTTTAGGAGCAAACGTTGTAAAGTAAGTTAGGTACCAAATAGAAGAAACCACTTGACATAGACTAGAGAGTGCTTAAAGAGAGAATTTTCTCAGAAACATAAGACAAATTAGTCATAACATTTTAACATTAACAGCAAAAAAAAAAGAAAAAAAAAAAGAGAGAAATAGACATTACTAACTGTAAGCTGTCTCAATCCCATTAAAACTACGCAATCAGAAGCCTTTTGTTTCTTCTTATTCCCACAGCTAAACTCTTGTTCTGTCTTTTTCTTCAGCTGTGAAAACGTTCTCCTCTTTCACAGTCTCTAATGTTATTATCACTTTCAGGCTTTGATTTTCTTGCTGGTGCTGCAACTCGGGCATTTGTAATGTTTGATGTGCTCAGCCTTTGCTGGTGTTATCTTCACGCATTTTCCATGGAACCATTTCTCGCAAGCATCGCAACATATCCAGAACTCATCTCCTCCATAGTTGTCTCCACACGCGCCACAAACAGCACCTTGTTCATCATCTTCCTCCTCATCTCCGCTCTCATCTTCTTCTCTTGGTGGTGGGGACATCTTTGAAGCCTTAGTGTGAGTATCAGAATGACGAGGCTGCATGAGAAAACAAAGGAGTAAATAGAGATTAGAACCCAACAGAGATAGATAGACTGAGAGAGGGAAAAAAAATGAAGAAAACAGAAGCTTCTACCTTGCCACTGCTAGATTTGCTTCTGCTACTGTTGTGGTTAGCAGATTGATCCTTGGATTGCTTTGCATTGCCAGTTACAACCTCGAAAATGGTTGGGAGATCATTTATCATCTGGAAGAGCCTCTTCCTGAAAGGAATTAATAAAGCTCAGAGGCAAGATAACTAAATGGTTTTGAGTCTACAATATCAGAGAAAACAAACACTGTTATCTGACTGCTCAACAAACATGATCTTTGTGAATTTTTAAATCTCAATAAATTTGGTTCAGCTTGGTGGAATTCACAACACTTGTAGGTTCACTTTTCTCTACTGAAGTAAAAGAGTAGAAAAAAAATGATGATCACTTCTTCAGGGTTCTTTCACAGAAACAATATAACATGAGTTTAAAGATAGTGTGCCAGAGATCGTCACTAGTAGCACCAACAACAATTACACGGTGATTGGATGCTAGAATAATGCAGCTACTAATAATGGTCATTGAAGCTTTACCAAACATGTGTACAAGCAAAACTAACAAACATAGAACACTGAGCAGAGAAAGAATCTTACCTCTCATTCTTACCAAATCCGAAACGTGCACCAAAGTAAAATGCAACAGAGATAAGCCATGAATCACTGTGAACAGCAACCAAAGATATCCAGTCTTTTTCTTGCATTCCGTCCCTAGCGAAATTGATGCCTAACGCTGGTTCAGGAAGCTCAGGAGGGACCTCCTCAACGGGAAGATTAACCTCCCATGTCTCATTTGGAAGTCCATAAAGACACAAGTTTTCCTTCTCTGCATAAGCCAAAAAAAAGAATTACCCTATAAGAAGAGAAACCACACAGAGAACTAACTTCATCTAAGTTAAAAATCTGTAGAAACTTACAAACACTTAAAAGTCTCCAATTTGTTCAAAAGTCATGAAACCAAAAAAAAAAAACTGTTCAGATAGACAACAACTCTGACAGGAAGACAACTCCTAACAGAACTAGAAGAAGGATCATAACAACAAGTCTACTGCAGATAGGATCTAATCAAGAAGAAGAAATTAGAAAAACAAAAGCTGGGAACAAAAAGAATCAGTGAACAAACTCATGAAGCAAGAAATGCATTTTCAATCACAAATTCTTCCCTAATTCAGACCCGAAAGGAACTCTTGCACTGATAAATCTTAACTTTAGCAACAACAACATCAAAAAGAAAAAAAAACTCTTGAAATCAACTAAACAAGCTAAGAATCAACAGGGGTAACGAAATAACTCACCAGGGTCACACTGATGGTAAAACTTCTCTACATCTGCAAAACAAAAAAAAACATGAATAAACCCAAAATCGTCAAATCCCAGCAAATGAATAAACCAAGAACAGGAAGAAAAAAGTCGAAATCTTTGGGTCTTTTCTCAGGATATTAAGAAAACCCAATTGAAAAAAACGAACTCGCAATCTACAAAAATGATCTTAGATTCGAACAAAAGAAACAGAGTATAAAGAGAGAGAGAGAGAGAGAGAGAGAGAGAGAGATCGAGCTGACCAGTAGAGAGAGCCTTGATGAGACCAGCTCGGCGACCACGAAAGTCGCTAAAGACCTCTTCGACAGTGCGAGGTATAGGATGTTGAATTCCTTCCATATTATTATTGCTTCAAACCAAAGACTTCACAGATGAGAATCAATCAGCCTCACCAAGAATGCGTCCAACTATCGAGCCACAAAAAGCCAAGATCGGCTTTTTATTTTTCCTTTTCAGGAAAATTTGTATACTTTGGATTTCGTATTCGGGGCAGAGTGAAATCAATAATCTTTCAGAGGAATTTATTTGAAGAAGAGAGAGAGAGACAGCAGAGCTAAGAAAAAAAACCCTAAAAACGAAAAGGAAAGGAGACAAAAGACAATTTGGGGGATTGGAAGCATTGGAACCGATTAAAGCGACAACATCTCTGCTTGTTTTTATTTTTTTGGGACACAACTTGTGTATCTATCTACATACAATACTATTAAATTATTTGACTCCAGCAATATTTAAAGTCGTTTCATATTTTTCCTTTGTTTTGGTCAAAATTGATATATATATATATATATATTTTTTTTTTTTTGAGGCAGGTTCTACAACTACTGAAGTACTAAAATAGTCTGATACAGTAAAAATTTCTGCCAGTTTTACTGTGATTAAATTTTAAGAACTGTACTATAATATCCAAATCTGTCAATCAATATAATGGAAACTGGAAAGGCTAAAGATAAAAAAAAAACTGAGTTTAAACAAAATTGATGCTTTTACAATCTGTCATAAATCTCTAATTAATGAGTTAAAAAATAGTTAAAAACTTAAAATCATAATAGTTGAAAGGGAAAAAGAAAAAAACTTCAAGCTTAATATCGTGATACGCTGCGGACTTTTAAATTTCTTATCTGATTTTTTTCACATCGTTAATATTTTTTAAAAAAATTCATTTTTTGGTTTAATTATTCTGTTTTTAATGTTCTTGTTAATTTCATGTAAATTATATTCAAATCAAACTCTAAAGAGGCTCTAATATATAGAAGTAAGAACTACATTAGGATGGATTGGAGTTGGACGATGCTTTTCCTATCTCTTTGCAGATTAGAATTTGCGGCTAAGTATATAAAATGAGGCATTGATGCTTCTATCCTCAAAAGAAAAAAATTGTTGTTTAATTTTCATCAAGAAAAAAAAAAAACCAAAAAAGAAGAAGTTAGTCACAGTTGGGAGATACTTGACGTGTATCACAAGTTGTCAGATATTTGATGAGCAGAAAGAATGATATAACGTCGAGACCAAAGAAACATTTTGATTTTCTTACCAATCGTTTCCGATTGCTGTCTAAGAATCAGTTTGCTCATTTCACGTTCCGACCATGTTGACATGTTACGTTGAATCATCAGAAGACACATGGAAATGATTTAAAAACCATATATTTGTTTTGTTTGCTCTTCATCATGGTCTAATGAATAATCGCATTGATGATTTTAGTTTTACCGGTGGTGCCATATCCTATACTAAAAAGTTCCTACTCTCAAAAAGATTAAACGATCAAGATCTTCTCCTAATCACATTTGTTTTTTGATCGCCATTAGACCATCAATGTTGATTTTGGCCATTGTCACCACTCTCACCAACTATTGCTATGTATAGTGAGTTTTATAGGTAGCCAGTCTCATCGTTGAAGGACGAGTTCTCCATCAGCCTGGTCCTATCAATCTCGTCGAGTGGCATAAAAAAAAAATTTGGATGAGAAAATCTCAAGACAAACAACAGTTTGTAAAAAGCCAGAGCCACCATCGTATCTGGTTGTTTTTGGATCTAGTCGCGTTGATGTTTGAATTGGCATTCTTAATTAAGTGGTTCACGTCAGACGTAAACACTCACATTTCAAACCTAAGTCTTTTTTTTTTTTTTTTTTTTTTTTTTTTTTTTTTTTTTGTGAACAAATACATAAGTCTAATATAGTTATACTATATGTTTAGAAAATTTTACTCGTAAAAACGCAGCAACAAACATAAGTTTCCAAATTTTTTCCAGTTTCGAATAAAAAAACTACTCAAATGCAGAACTAGAGCTATTTGCACATTCTTAAGAATGGTTGACTAAATTGGAACATAATTGTCGTCTTTTGTATAAAGTTGTTTGATGGAGTTTCTTATAGTTTGATTAAATTACCACATGTGGTTTAACTAATATAATTTAAATATATTTACGAATAATTAGGAACACATTCACATACTTGCCATAATAATAAAAGTAGACTATCAACTTTGTAAACATGTTATCATTCGACATTAAAAATATGCTACTGTCACATGACTCCATCCCAAAATAGCTAATTATTTTCTCTAGTGCAATGGAAGAAAGGTAGAAATTGATTATTCTAATATTGGTTAACTTAACAATCAATCTCTCGTATGTAAAATGTGCATAGATTGAATTTAATATCAATGTGGAATGAATTCATAACAAACTCTCTCTTAATGTTCATTCGTATAGATTCATAAACATTCGATGAATAATGTAGAATCGAGCTGACCAGTCAACAATTTTTGTAAAATATTAAAGACAGCAAATCAAGCTGACTATTCAAAAATGGGCCTAATCTCTCACGAACAAAGCCCAATATGAAATCAACGAAGCCCACAGCCCAGCAGTCTTCGTCCACCCACCTGATCACATACATAGAAAGGAACACTCTCTGACGCAAATCAAAAATCATCGATTCGAGGCCGTTTAATCACAGCATCTGCGTCCGGCTTGAGCGTTAACGAATGTCGCTGAAGAAGACATCTTCTCTGGTTCTTCCGCCATTCTCAACGAATTAAGCTTTACGCAGAAGCTCTCCCTCTCTCTTTGTTTTGAATCATCGCGAAATTGTTCTTCCCCTGAAATCTGTAGGAGGTGAAATTGCTCTCTGCTCCTTCGTCAGCTTCTCCAATCAACCAATTGCTTGTGACACTACTGAAAATTGTTTATAGTTGTGCAGCGATGGCTGATGAGAGTTTGGATGACAAGCCGATTCGGTTTCATATTCCCTATCAAGTAATCCACCATGAAGCTTACAGTTGAGTGTTCAAGGCTAATTGTTTGTAATGGATTAACTCTAGCTATCAGTATTAGTTTTTGTTTGTTAATGGCTAATCACATTGTGTGAATTGGGTGGACTTTCTTGATGGTTTGAATTATATTAATATCAGGTGTTGGTATGTGTACTGTGTGTAGCCTTCACATTTTGGTCTTTTTTAACTGATTTGATTTTGATTTGCAGTGTCTTTGCACAAAGAATTGAGTGAGCCATTTCGCTTTGACGATACGAAATTGAACAAGCGATTTGGTGCCAATCACAGGTTTAGGTTAGTAAAAGTTGGATGTTTATTAATAGTGAATTCTTTCTTATGTCTGTTCTTTACCATGCTTGTGTTTGACGCTGTAACCAGCCTTTTGACGGAACCAGCAGTGATTTATCCTCGTTCTCGGTCATCTCTAACAAGCGAATATTTACGTGGTGGTTATGATTTTTGTGTAAATTTCACTAATCCAAGTGTAAGTTGTTTTTATGATGTGTTTTTATTTGATTGCTAACCACAAGTTCTAACATTGACAAATTTCTAAACAGTTGATGGTAATTGGAAACAGCATGTTAGATGGTAATCTACTTGCAAGAATGAAATACGATTACACAGATAGGTTGACAATGTATAGTCAGGTAAAAGTTCTGCAACTGAAACTATAGTATTTACTCACTGATGTAGCTTCATGATATTCACTTTCTATGCATAACCAAACATTGTGTTCGTCTCTATGTCAGATCATGAATAACCAAACATTGTGTTCGTCTCTGTTCAGCTTTGACTACAAGGTGAGTAGTTTTCTGAATTCTATATGCTTTTTGTGAGATATGGTTTAGCAATCAAGTCTTCGATTTCTGTAGAGGGCAGGCTACAAAACCCAAGTTCAAGCTGGAAGCGATGTCCCTTTCAAAGCTAGTTGTAGCAAGGTAAATTATCTTTGCTAATGCTTTACTTTTAAATTTCTATGTAAAACTATTGATAGTTTTGTAGTTAGATGTTCACTAAATTTTATATTCTGTTTTATAGAATGTGACACCGGAACTGTCCTTGCATGGTGAGGTTTCCTGGAATGGGAATGATGATGTGAATAACGATGTTGGTTTTGCTGCTCGATATGCTCGATATGAGTCTGAGACTAACAAGCCTAAAATGGTAAATTTTCAGATTTCACTAATATTCATTTCTGTAAAAACTTATGAGACTTTCTTTTATCGCCAGATTGCTGTTGCACAAGTGTTTACCAAATCTGCTATAATGAGTTACTTTCAGAAGATTTCAGAGAAGGTAACCTAAAGTTCCCAGTAATTCATAGAGTTAAGACGCTAAGTTATGATAACAATAACTTTTTATAACAGGTTATGTTTGTGACTTATCTCACGTACAACTACATGTCAAGAGATGTTCGAGCTAGAGTTGGGTGTGTCTACTCTGTGAGACGGGTACATGGCCGTTCCTGTCCCATTGGTTTTGAAACGAGGAACAAAATCTTTAATTAACTTGGTTGGATTTGATTCAGGGTCGGGTGTTAGCAAATATCGATTCCAATGGTGTTTTGGCCACTCACCTTGAAGAACGATGGGTTGAAGGACTCAATTTTATTCTGTCAACAGAGGTACAAAGTGACTTATTTGATTTCATGTTCTATATAGCTATCTACAAAAGGTCTGCAGCCAATTTTTATGCGGGTATTAGGCTGCTGGACTTTCGATAATGACTGCTTCAAACTCTTAATTACATGTAACCAGCTGGATCCTAAGAGGTGGGAGTGCAAGGTCGGTTGTGGTATAACCATCACTACTTGAAGACCATCTTCTTTTTGTCTTCTTGAAGTTAAAGCCTCCAAAACCCAGATGGTCTCACGATTTCCCCTGCCAGATTCAAGTGACACTTGGCATTGGCACTTTGGGAACAAAGACTGTAGCTACGGGACTATGCCCTGATTGTATGTTTGATTGTTTGTGTGTTAGGATTGTTTTTCCGTTTATTTTACAATCGGGCCTATATCCTTTTGACGTACCTCCTTTTTCAAATATATACATCCGTTTCCCTCCTCTTTATTGCACAACGTCTTGGAATTGTCGACGAGACGGAATTATTTTCTACATCCCACAACACAAAAATACGCCAAATAAGCGATTTAGGAGAGAACATGCACGAGAAAATAAAGTTACTTGACCAAGGACTTCCGACATCATGACATCCTAGCCTTTGATTTCAACATCGTTTCTACTCGGATCCAATTCTGCCAGTTCGTAATGAGTTCTTTCTAGGAAAGGTTCATGGTTGAGAAACAATGTGAAACATAACTGTCCATGAGAGGTTAGTCTTAATGGCTCTGTGTCCTTAGTTTGAGAGTGTGAGATCACACACTTTCAGCATCTGCATTTGATCTGATCAT